ATAAAAAAAAGAGGTTGTGATATTATAGAGGAATACGGATGATGGATGGACGAGTGGAGAGAGAAAACGACCTAAAAGCTAAAAAAGGAGGAGAGGGATGGAAAAGAAAAAGGAGGCCGGGAGGAAGGAAAATGGCAGATAGAGGAGGAGAGTGAAATAAGAGAGAGAGAGAGAGGTAGGGAGGAAAGAGATGAAGAGAGGTTCAGTGGTGTATTAGTACTTTCACTGAGAGTAATGCTTTAAAAAATGTACTGAAGTAAAAGTAGCTTATAAAGCTAAAGTACAGACACTCAGAGCAATGTGGGATGTTTTTATGTGTTATATATAAGGGATAAATGTTCATTAAACGATGATAATGGACATCTTGAAGGGAGTTATTCACCACGGTCACTGCCAAAGAAACAAAATAAGATAATTACTTTATATTTTCATGTGTTTTATGAGGAGACTGCTCCATTAAATAGGACGAACCGTAGATACGACCTGGCAGCAGGAGATGTTTCTATTTCCAGTTTCCTCCAGTCCTGGTCTGACTGATACAGTAGATTATATTTTATGCTTTTGTTTAGACAGTTAAAGATAAAGAGGAAAGCGGGCCTCCAGCAAAGGACAACAAGCTGGAAGGTGAACGAGCAGGCGAATACAGTCCCATTCTGATAGCAATGTGTTCGCGTTAAAATGCGATTTTCCTCATCGAGATCAAACGTCCAGACGGATTGCGTGTTAATACCTCGTGGAAACGGGGTCAAAGACATCAAAGTGTCAATCCAAAAGCATTTACAAGGAGCTGAAGTAACAGATAACACGTGAACCAGGTGAATGCAGAACCTCACGTCTTCTGCCGTGTTGCCTTTAAAACCTCTTCAGAAAACCAAGAGAAACACGAGTGAAAAGGTCGTACGGAGCTCGTACGTGTCAGGTCACACAAACGACTTTGATGATTATTTGGTGAAATGGTGAAAAGAGCTGCCGACCCGCACGGCATCTGTCACGCTGCATCCATTGAACCACGCAGAGCCAAATTTCAATTCACACAGAGATAAAAAGAAAAGAAACAGCTCATAAATTGTATGAAGGGGAGAAAATCCTCCAGAGCTTTGATGGATACCTCACGATGGGGTATACATCTCAATTTGAGAGTGAAATTGGTAGCAGGAATATCACGAGATAAAGAGAAAAGCTACGGCGGAGGATAACACACAAACAAAATGACCTTGAACTGAAAGAGAAAGAAAGCATAGAGACAAAACAACTCATTAAAATCAAGCAAATGACTGCGGGCGGGGGGGGGGCACCGACACAGGAAATAACGGAGGGAACGTGTTTGCCCGAGGTAGAGAGGACGTAATAAAGGCTAATATGCTAAGGACGTTTCCAGGGAGTCGGAATTTCTCTGGAGGAGAAAACTGAGATGAAGGAGTTAAAGGATGTGACACTCAGAACCTCTCCTCACGCTACCGACCGGGTTAGACACCTATTATAACATAATGGGCCACTCTGTAATAGGTTGTAGTTGTCTGTCCTGTTCCAGATTCATTGTTGATACGATTGGACCTCTGACCTTTCAGTCAATCATCTTCACCTGCTGCTGTAGAGGACGCCAACGACTATCTGACTAATGAAAAGTGAGTCGACTGAGACTCTTCTCAGCAACCAGCGATTAAGTCGACTATTAGTTTGGCGTTCTGATGGGGACTGCTGTGATTGGCGAGACTCGATGGAAACAATGACGATTGGTCAAATTGGTGTAAAATTATAAGTTTGCGCCTGTTAAAGAAACTTATTCTCTGTCTGTATTGTGTAATTTTATACCATTGTTCACAAGCATACAGAATTAACAGGATACTTTTCTGACAAATGTAATGTTTTCTTGTCTCTGATGTTTGACCATTGTTCTGTTAGACTATTTACATTTATAAATGCCAACCAAATTAGTTTTCTTACACGCCTTAAAATCACAATACAGCCCCTAATGAAGCGTTGGCGACCCCCAGTGCCGGGTCCCGACCAGAGTGCTCCAAGGTCATCAAACACTGACGGTTATTTGACGAACAGACAGATGTAAAGTTTCTAGATATCTGCATCTAATTATCAGAATATTCTGTAACTGTTAAGCAGCTCAATAACACACCTGTTTGTACACAAGAGGCAGCTGTCAACATGAAACCAGTTGGACGTTACCAGATAAATCTGTTTACTGGACAGCAAACTACAGCCCTGTGTGTGTGTGTGTGTGTGGGGTGTGGGGGGGGCTCTTTGCGCTGTATGATTTAATAGTGAGTGCCTCTTCCAGTGTGTGTGTGTGTGTGCATGTGAGGGCCTTATCCAGGTGAGTGACTGTTCATTAAAGTGTATTTTTAATGGAAGAGCGTTCAGTTGGTGCTCAGTCATGCGGACTGAATTAACTTTGTCCGCATGGTTTACTAAAGCAGCTCAGTGCCCGTCCTCTCTGTCACTCTCTCCCTCAGCGCCGGCCTGTTTCAGATTTCAATTTCAAACAAACTTCAAATGAAACTCTCTCCTCTTCTGTCTCTCCTCCCCTCCGTCTCCCTGGATGCAGGACTGTGTACTATATTTTCTGAATTCATTTGTTATGGCAACAGCAAAAATGTCTGTGAGTCCAGACTTGTACGTCTCACCTTGCTGGCTTATAGAGAGACTTCACCTGATAAACTGTCTGCAACCTAAATACAGTGACTGTGTTTACGTGCACAAGATTAGTCCTACTAAGCTGTTTACATAGCAAACAACAATTAATATTTCACATATATTCTCTTCCACATGCAGCCATGAATACAAACCTGTTGATATCCATGTCTTTAATGATGTTTAAAGACTCCTTATGAGTTCTGCGGTACACCTGAAATCAATCAATGTTTCAGTTTTGGTTGGATTTAGTTCAGATGTTTGTTCTATCAGGAGGTGATCAGCTGGTTTTCTTTCTTTTGTTTCTTTTGTTCCTTTTGTCTATGATCTCCAACCTCTTTGTTTCCTTATTTTTCCTTGATTTGAGGGTTTTTAATATTAGAACCTGTGGGTTTGCTGTAACAACATCCAAGTCTTCAATAATGTTTAAAAGTAGTAGCTTTATAGACTTCTGGCTAGTAGGTTTGTTAATACCCCCCACAGAGCTGACCATAAACAGGCGAGAGTGACTCTGAATGGAGTATGATGTTTACATGAATCAAATGCCTATTCGGAATAATAGTGGAAAATTAGTGTGAATGTAAACGTAGTCGATGACGGGTGAAGCCGTACTAGCAATAACTAATTTTGTCTAATTTAGCTAGTGACTAAATCTTCTTAAATGACCCCTACTGGAGCTTTGGCGTCCCCTAGTTGAGATTTGGTGAGCCCTCGTGGAGCTCGGGACCCCCAGGTTGGGAACCAGTTTGCTAGATTGTCACTACTAGTCTTTAACTTCACTGATTGTCTCCCCCACCTCCCTCACCCTGTACTCGCCTGACAGCAGCTTACTCACCAATGACAGGAGCCGCTCCTCGGCGTAAAGTGGAGTTTTGCTCCAGGCACCAGCAACAAATCAAAAAAAAGGGGGGGGAGGGAAGTGGAGTATTGGTTTGGGCTTTCGAGATTGGTGGGTTGTGGGTTTGATTGACAGTTTCTTGTGTGTTATTGGGAGATGGCGTCATCGTCGTGGGTGTGATTTAAGTCCACTACAGTCGTCCCTCGAAGAGAAGCTCCTCCCATCCCCTCTGTCGACGATGACGGTTGGGAGTTTTTATTTGCACCTCCACCTAGGAGACAACAAGATGGCGTCAGATTATTAGGAGCAGCTGACAAAGACGAGTCACATGTGTTGTTTTCCTCTAATTACCCTGCCCTGCAGAGGAGGAGGACGGAGGCAGAGCGAGGACGTTGGCTCCCCCTCCTCCTCCTCCGTTGGTCTGGGAGCAGACGTTGGCGTGGCGAGCGGCGGCCTTCTGCTTGTAGTGGTTACTGTGCAGCTTGTACTTCATCAGGAGGATGAAGATGAAGACGAGGACGGAGGCCACAATGATCCCCCCGATGATGATGATCATGGTGCCTCCCAGGAACTGGAGGAAAAGATCAAAAACACGCAGATAGTCAGCCCCGGTGTGCAGATCCTACGATTCACTGACCAACATCATAACAACAAGAATTATTAGCAGATTGCAACTCCCTTACTTCACCCTCAGAGGAGCCCTGTTTAAAGCCAGTGTTTGGTTTGTTCATTCTGGGCTACTGTAGAAACATTCCTGACTCAATGAGGGTAAAAACGTCTGTAGATAAAAACGGCACATTCTAAAGTAACAAAGACACAATGATTCTTATATTCAGGTGATTATACACTAATGAAAACACACCTATGAATATTATATTTCTCCATTTTGTTCCATTTCTGACAATAGATCCTCCTCATTGAAAGCTTTAAAGCTGCAAAATACTTTCGTTTCGAAGTTAATTCTTGACCTTGGAAAGAAACTTTTAAGTCAACCTGAAAAATTAGTCTAATAAGTCGAATAATTGGAAATGTAAACATCTACAGTTCCATAAAAAACTGGTCAAACTCAATTTGAGTGCACTTCATGTATAAAGAAAGATCTGCAACAATCTGAATAAAGAGTTAATCCTTCAATATAAAACTAAGTTAATATTAATTTATTTAGTTTATTTTCCATACATGTAAAACTGACCACATAGAAAGAAAGACATAACAATAATTGGTTAATTGAACAGTATCTGAGTCAGAAGTCAAGAACTCTGGGACCTGTGGAATAAATCATCCAAATCCCGACTGTTCAGCTCTGTATGTGGTCAGACGTGTAACACCAACCTGATCTCTTATAGAGTGACAGCGTCCGTACTCTGTCTCCGTACTGAAGGACACGCAGCCCACCAGCTTGGTGCCCGTCAGGGCGGTGATGCCGTCATCGTAGACGGCCAAAACACACAGCTCGTAGTCCCGCGACGACGCCAGGTCGCTCAGCAGGAAGTACTTGTGGTTGGCTGGGATCATCCTGAATGAGAGGAAGACAGAAACATTTCATTGTATTTTGTCCTTATTTGTAGATTATCTGATGACAGAAACAATAATTCATGTCTTCCTGAGTGTCTTATTTCATCAGGTCCTTACTGACAACAACAACAGGAGTATTCAGGCGTCATTCACAATCACAAATATCACTGATAGAAGCAAACACATTTTCAGCTGGTTTCTTTAGTCCAATCACAGCATTTGTGTCCACACAAAGACTCATGCTGACACAACTGAATAGGTTGGATTGCCAGTAACTCCCGCAACGACATATATGAACGCTGTGTACCGGACCTTAGGTATGTTAACTTAAACATGCAATTAATGTTAAACTGTAGCTTTAGGCAACAAAACAACTTGGTTAGTTTCAGGAAAAGAACATGGTTTGGGTTAAAATAAGTACTTTTGTGGCTCTTTATGTTACCTGACTTCTTCCTTTGTTTCTGCCATAATTACTGCAGACACCGAAGCTGCTTCCAGAAACAACCTACACAGCTGTTTAACTGATGAATACAGGTTGGAAAGCTTGTTTACTGGGCTGGACTGTGCAGTTAGCTAAGCATGATACCCCATACTCATCTCAGAGATACATTCAAAGGTGGAGTCAGTCATTCTGGAAGATAGCACATCGTCAAATACTGATGGTTTAGTAAATGGGAAACACACAGTGTCTTGGACTGAGCTACACAACACAACAGGAGGCGTTTATGTTCCCAAGTCCTCAAATATAGACGGTTTGGGTTTCCAAAATGTCTCCAATTATGGATATTAGACTCAACAATCAAGTATTTTTCTCCAGCCTGACTGATCCTACCTTTAAGAGGCCAAAGGGAAACCATAACACCTGTATGGTCACCTGTTATCACATCTCCATATGACCATGAGATGTGGTTGACCTCGTACCTCAGATTATTTTGCTGCATACACATTTGAGTCGTTTTGTGGAAGACATTTTCAGGCATCTTTTGGGAGTCAGAGTTGATCATGCTCATTTGAACATACACTCTAAAGCACCGGAGCAAACACTGCAGAGGTCAGATTAACTGGTCGGAACATTCGTCTCATAGTTTTGTAATTTTCTGTTGAGAAATTCCCATGTCCCCGAAGTCCCATGATACAATAATTGCAGACAATGAAAGAGCTTAAACACTGAGCTACACAGGAGCAAAAATCAATTTCAGTTTTCACTGGGACTCTAACAATTCTTCCAGAGGAGGACGGGGGAGACCGACAGTAAAGAGGCTGGCTGCTGGGTATTGAACCAGACGGAATGAAGGAACAGAATTCAGCACAAAATGACTTCTTTCTGTCACCACGAAAATGCCCGAGCATTTTCTTCCTCATACAATAAGTTTAAGAATAACAAGACTTTGGGAAACTTATTTTACAAAACTATTTGTCACATTATTGCTGTGCTGGATGGGTGGTTTTGTCTGTTGTTATCTTAACTATCAGGAGATTTTTTCCTGGCTGTAGAGAATTGAATCTTCCGATCACGGCAGTCAACAATTCAGCTACAAAACCTGGAGCCTCGGAAACAACAACTACAATTAGGTTTTGCCCTTTTTGGCCAACTTGTCCAAGCTATTTTAGGACATGTCTGAAGGTGTTTACTGGGACATATGATATAATAGACATAAACAAGTCTAAAAGTAAGTCACAGCAGTCAAGGATCAAGTCTTTTTTTTTTTTTTTTTGTTTATGTGTTTCAATGAACATATTCTAAAGGCTCTTTTATATAGCGAGCACAAGATTATGTGCATATACCATGAGACACATTTGAGGCAGTTCCCCTGGTTTTATACCCTGTGTGAAGTCAATACGACACAGTAGATGCACTCTGTGTCTGTGTGCAGAGCAGAGACCAGCACAGAAGTCACACTGCAGTCATAAAATCTACAGAGACAGAGGCTGTGGCAGACCAACAGCTGGTCCAGGATCTCATCATGTTTCCATCACTGACTCTAGGGCACATGTGCACCGCCATTAACTTGTGTTCTTGGTCTGAAGTGCCAATACCTGAGGGTGTTTTCAAAGTGCCAGATGTAATCAATAAGGTGATCTGTTGAAGTTACGTTGCACGTTCATTTCCAACAACCTCATCTTTGATGGATCTTATCTGCTATCCAGTGCAGTTTGTGGTGTCACTCAAGTTTCTTTTTCATCTCTGCTGCTTGAAATGTTGATTTTTTTATCTTTGCTTCCTGTATATTTTTATCAGAGTTTGTCATGTTGGTATATTTTATCGTCTTTAGTCCAAAATTAAACTAAATGTGCTGCTCCAAAGTGAAGACCTGTCCCTTATCTGCTGGTCTCAGTCCGTCTCCAGACCAGATAGCCCTCATGTTTAGATCCCTGTATTGATATTGGTTGTAATGACTTCTGTTCCAGTTGTGCAGGAGAGAAAACAGAAGCTGAGATCTAACACATTGTGAAGAGAAGAGCAGAGGAGTTTTCCAATAATACCAAAGATTGAAGTTGAAGTAGAAAATTGAAGTGGAGTGAATATAAGAATATACACAGAGAGGAAAGGCAACCTGAAAATCAAAGGGTACAAGATAGAGTGAGATTAAAGACAGAGGGGAGGCGAGGACGGCGATGGTGGGGAGACGCAGAGGAGAGGGGATGAAAACGAAGGTGAGACAGAAAAGAAAAAGATGGAGAAGGAGGCGAGGGAGGGAACATAAAGAAATGTCACAGTGGAGGACGCAGAGAAACAAAGAGAGGGTGAGACACAGAAACAAGAGACGACACTTATTCAGAGACATCTCAGTCCTCGGTTACAGTCCACATTGCACTGGACAGATGATCCATCAGGGTTGTTTTCTTTGGTGATTTTATTTGGCTAATTGAGCGGTCTGTCTCTGAAGAATGAAAGCTGCTGCTCAGGGACAGTTCGCACACTGAGCCGAAGAACAAATGAGAGGGAAAACAGCTGCAGAGCCAGAATATTTCCTCATCTAACTCTGTGAACTAAGAGTTTATTTAGAGTAGTTTGAGGACAGGGAACACAGTACTGAGTCTGGGTGAGAGGTGTCAGCGGTGGAAGGAGGTCGGGCATCAGAGAAGCAGCGACAGCGTGAATATTTTCACATCTAACTCGGTTAGACACAGGAGTTGGTGATTGTCCGGATTCCCACAGTCCCTGAAGGCTTTCTGTCCACTTCCAGCCAGACTGCCAGCCAACATGTTTCTGTGTGAAATGGAATAGATCTGCTAACTGATGAGGTTCGGTTGGGGTGGGCCTTCTCCTGGTTGAGAGCCGGGTTACGTTAGTGGCTTCTCTTTCTTTTATTTGAGATTTTTAATAAATCTTTTAAAAGGGGCTGTAAATCTTTTGGTGCTGGTGGTTCTTGGGAGCTGGGAAGGGTCGTAAAACATTGTTAAATTGTTCAAATATTTGCTCAAATGCAAGGCGCAAGATATTCAGTAATGCAAAGGAAATATCACAGTCAAGTGCCTCCTTGTTGCTGGGGGACGTAAGGTGGACAGAAGGGTAGCTTAAAGGATAAATCTGGTGATATTCTATGTTTCTTGTCAAATAAATTCCATAAAAAGACCCAAACTGACACTGAATCAACAACACTCCTAACAAGAACTGTGTGTGTATCCAAAGCCTGATATATCTTATTCCCTATCGTCCAAAACTATTAGGGACACATCAAGAGCGCCAACCGTAACCAGACGTAATTTGCTTAAGAGACACTTTCTCCACTTTCAGAGGGGTACAGCATGCATTCGCCAGCTGTTTGAACAGAATGTGAGGTTTCACCTTTTTAAACGAAGCTGCCGCATGGACTCTCAGCGGCACAAAAACAGCAGTGGAGATGTTTAATCGTGCCACCCTTAAGATGATCGAGAGCCCGCTCCGATTCCTTAAACTAATTTGAGTACAGATGGCGATGGAGGAAAGACGAGCTCGTAAAGAGAGCTGAGAAAAAAAAAGAAAGAACAAAGACCGAGTATTCAGGGCTGCAGACAGAGAGAGAGAGAGAGAGAGAGAGAGGAGCAGATGTTATCGATGGAATGATAATTGAGTGGAGAAACATGGGAGCTGTGAACTAGGCCACCCTCTGAAACACTGAGATTACTGCTAACGCCGGACCGACTCACTCTGTTACACACACATAAACACATTTGAGGAATACAGCCAGAAATAAGCACATCCACACTCTGTTTAGAGGATTGTGTTCAAGTTTCAGGTCTGATGGGGACATTAGTCTTTTGTTTTATGGTACTATCAGAGTGGTGATAATGTGCCTACCATCTTACAATTTAGTCTTTTTTCTTAAAACACCACCATATTTAACAAAGTGTTGGTGGAATGTCTAATTCTGTTGAGTTTTATTTAGTTTCTGTCCACTTTGAATGAAGTTACGATGATCTGCAAGGTAAAATTAGTGTTTTTGTTAATGGAGTCTGGTTGGCTGTTCTAGTCTGAGATGCTGGTTCTCTAGTGATCTAGTAGCAGTACATTCTGTTAATAATATATATATATATATATATATATATATATATATATATATAAAACCTTTCAGAATTAGAAATCTGTGCACTCTCCGTGTCAACCCTGTACAGTCGGCTGTGGCAGAACTTCATAATGGCTGACTTTGAGAGACAGGAAGAATGAGAGAGGTTGTGTTTACTGTATTACTGCAATGTATTCTCTCTCTATATATATATGTGTGTGTGTGTGTAACTGCAGATGCATGTGTCCTTTGTCTGTGTATACCTGTGTGTGTGTGTGTGTGTGTGTGTGTGTGTGTGTGTGTGTGCACGTGTGTGTCCTCTGTGTGTGTGTGTGTGTGTGTGTGTGTGTGTGTGTGTGTGTGTGTGCGTGCGCGCGTGTGTGTCCTCTGTGTGTGTGTGTGTGTGTGTGTGTGTGTGTGTCCTATATATTATTCAGGTGTCAGCCGGTGCAGAGCAGCGCCTATTTATCAACACAGGAGCGGAGGTGACGAGACAAGGAATGGAATTACAAAG